TTATTTTCAAATATTATTAAAAAAATTTTGTTTGAATATTTTAATTTTATAAAAATGTAGATTATAGCAGTATTACACAAATTTTCCAGACAAATTTGCCTGGAAATAGCCTACAGATTAAAGGATAGTATTTTTATATTCTAAATATATATACAGTATATATATATATATATATATATTTTTTTTGGACCACATAATTTTTAGCTATAGACAAAAAGAACAGGATTACCACTTCTTCAGCAAGTACCTCAGATGCTAGTAGCACAACTAGTGCTAAAATATATTTCTGTTTTTTTAATATACAAGACCTTTTTGAAGTAACTAATAAAGAATTTAATGATAATTTGTGGCCTTTAATAACGAATATATGGACTCAATTTACTTTATACAAACTTTGAAACAGAGATTTTTGGAGAACTTATGTTTGTTATTTTAAAAAGCATTGAAGTTCAAGTATACAGCAGAAAGGTATTGCAATTGATAAACAAAGAAAAACTACTATTCGACCAGCTAGTCTTTGTAAAGCAAAAATCAAAGTAACTTGGTCTGTTAGTTTTAAAATGGTTCAAGTTGAACAGTATAACAATTTTCCAGATCATATACATATACTAGAAGATAGCGATATATTAAAATGTTCAGATACTATTTGAACCTTAGTTATAAATGAAGCTATTAAAAATTATGAATCTGTAACAATAACTAATGTAGTTAAAGAATATACAAAAAATGAGCTTGGATTAGATGATAGTGTGGAATATCTAAGGCAAAGAGAGGTTGTGAATATTAAATATAAGCTTCAAAGACCTATGAATGACATTTAATAGGTAATATAAAGTTAGGAGCAAATATTTTTGAGACTTTTTTATATTTGAAAAACTAAAAGTATTATGCTGAACATTATCACATTTTTTAGTAATCCAAAAATGGGAAAGTAAAATATACAGAAGGTATTGTTTTTATATATTCTAGACAAATAGACAAACTTCAATATCATGGTTAGCTCATATTGATGGATTTGACCCACAAAACAAATAAACATAGATAGAAGCTTTTTACTTTATATGTATATAATAACTATAGATGTTGAGAAAGTAGTTCATATTTTTTTGTTTGTGCTAAGGATAGTGCAACTATTGCCAAAACATTACAATTAGTTTAAAATAAATACTACTAGGTTTCTCATTATATTTTAATAGACTAAAATAGTACTGAAGCTAATAGCATAATGCAAGCTTTTTTTGATATTAGTGCTGGTAAACAGGAGTATAAAGTTTTACTTTGTTCTGTCTATTTGATGTGTATATAGATTTCAAAAATTTATGAAAATAAGACTCAAAGTCTTATGATTGCAGTTATGTATAAGAAGATGTGAATAGGATGTGAAAAACTTATTCAAGATACCATTAACACTTGCTCTGTTCCTGCTATTTGCAAGTATATTCAATGAAACTATATGAAAAATACTGATAAGTAGGCTTTTTGGTCATAGCAGTATTCACCTCTCTTACTTCAAGTTACATCCACTAATACATTAGAATTCTTTCATAATAAACGTAAAAGAACTATATCTTACTTGCATAGGTTTTTTTTTTTTTTTTTTTTTTTTTTTTTTTTTTTTTTTTTTTTTTTTAATATATTTTTATTATTT